AGATGGCAGAGATCAGTTCCCCTGGAGAAAATGGTGGGTTCTGTGTCATTATACCCTGCTGAGGTTACCACAGCAAATTGATGCTGAGTGCCCAAGGCCAGGGCATCTGCATAGAGCCTCTTTCTAGAGTTCATTGTATTTATTTCTACAATGGGCCTTATTCCTAATATTGTAATAACTCCACAGCACCCAGTACCAAAATAGAACAGAACTTTATTAGAACATGAGCAAGGCCTGGGCTGGGGCCTGCTAGGCCATAACTGGCCACAGCCAGCGGTCAACAACACAAGTGAAAAGTGAAATTAAAGCAAGAGCTTCTACCTTAATAGGTCATGGAAAAATAACTATACCATACAATAAGGGAACCTCAACAAATTCACAACTGCCCACCACGATATAATACATGTGCCCTTCACTGTCGGGAAAGGGTGGCCTTAGTAAAGATATTGCCAGACGATGTTGCTAGAATTGCCAACTGACCAGAAAAAAATAGCCAGGATTGTTATTTGTCTTTAACAACAGCTTGAAACTTAAAAAATCAGCACCGGAAAGCAGAGATCCTCTTTTTTCAGGGCTCACTACCATAAGCATAATTATGTTTTTACTGTATTAGGGCTAGTCTGTTTTTCTCCTGTGATCCATATTGGGAACTAGTGGCACCATGAGGTAAACATAAGAAGTGAAATGTTACCCTTCATATCAGTGTCAGATATAAGCTGCTTTACTTACGGTCCTATGTAAACACATGCAACCTAAGCCGTGACTTTTTTGCCATCAAGTCATAGTTATGGCAACCCTGTGGGGTTTTCAAGGCAAAAGATGTTCAGAGGTGGTTTGCCATTGCTGGCCTCTGCATCATGACCCTGGACTTCTTGGAGGTCTCCCTTTTAAATACTGACTAGGGCTGACCCTGCTTAGCTTCCAGGTTCTGACATCTGACAAGGTTGGGCTAGCCTGGGCTATCCAGGTCAGGGCAAGCCATGACACTGGGTGTTTGTTCATTTTTTAGAAGAAAATGAGCTGTAAGTAGGGTTGCCAGGTCCCCCCTGGCCACTGGTGGGGGATGGGGAGTAGAGTTGTCAGATCCAGGTTAGGAAACTCATGGAGATTTGGAGATGTAGCCTGGGAAGGACAGGGACCTCAGTGGGATCCAGTGACATACAGAGTCCACCCTCCAAAGCATCCATTTCTGCAGGGAAACTGATCTCTGTAGTCTGGAGATGTGCTGTAATCCCAGGAGATCCTCAGGTCCCACCTGGAGACTGGCATCCCTAGCTGAAAGTGCTTTATCCTTTCCCTGTTCCAACTTACCTCCCTATTGGCTTTTCCCATTGCTGGGTTCAAAATGTATGTTTACCTGCATTTTGAACACCATTGTGGGAAGTCACAGTGGGGGGTGGGGCAACTTGGAGTGGGGAAATGGCTTAAGCGTTCCTCCCCTTTCCGCTTCTCTACTTGATACCCACCCGGTGTTTTTAATTTTTTTAAGGCAGTGTCAGGGCTCTGTAACATATTCCCATATAACATACAACTATTTAATTTCATTTCATTATTCCAAGGTTAAATTGCTTTGTCTAATATACTAAGAAAGAAGCCCTATCTACTCCCCCTCTTTCAGACTTAGACAAATCAATTATATCCTCCAAGCAAGCCACGCACATTTAATTATTCCAATTAGTTCTCATAAGCCAGTTCCCTCACAGTTCTTAAAATTATTTTGATGCCTTTCTCTATACGCGAGGACCTGCAGACCAGAACAAAATTTTGCAGGAGATCCTCCTAAGTCAGCATGTAATTGGATATACCGAAGCTGCTAGGAACACACAGTCTCCTGTCATCCATTTCCAGTCAGGATCTATCAGCCAGAAGTATGGGTGACCGACTGCACTGGCTGTCATTGGTATTTTTCAAACTATTTGCTTCCCTGTGCCTCTCAAGGCTGATTTAGTTGACCATTAAAGTTCATATTCCAAAAGGCAGACATTCCATCGGTTCTTTATCTCAGTACAATTCTGTTAAACCAGCCTTAACACAAGGTAGAGACAGCTGCCATTTCAGATTTTAGGAAGAAAGGCAATATTTTCATGAGGTTGTCTTAGGAAATTAAGCCAGATGAATCTAGTATTGTTGTGAATGTCAATATTTCTGATGTTTCAGCCAACCACTGTATGATGCCAACTCAAGTCCTAGTCTTTAACTGGCAGACTGAGATTAACAGCCATGTTACATCCTGATCTACAGTGGGTTGCACCAACAACATCACCATTGTTTTACTTCATTTGGTTTAAGAGAAGAAGAAAGGTGGCAAGGGAGTAGAAGAAAGATAGTGGAGGAAAACAGAGAAATAGAGTACAAAATTAAAATTGGACTCCATGTTATTGTTGGATTACGGCGTGGTCTGAAACACTTGCAGTTTATCACATTATTGGATATCCATCTTCTGCTTTGTTTTTGCATGTGCAACTATTCAATAGGTTGCATCCAGCCAGCTTTTTTCACTCAGTCTTGCCCAGTTCCATTTATTACTACATCCCCATCCCAAATTATCTTTGGACATGCAGCAGTCTTCTTTTGTGTGTGTGGTCTAAGAGGACCCACCATCCTTTTTCACCAACAGAAAAGCTGGTTGTATCCAATCCAGTGCGTATCCTCTCAGCAAGTCCCATGCTTTACAGAACAAGGAGCTAGAATCCAATAGTGTAACAACAATTGGCCTTAAAGACAAGCTCCATATGAAACAAAGGAGCAACAGGAATATGCCCAAATGTAGGGATGATTGCAACTAGCTATCTAAAATCTTTGTCTTAACCTAACTGAAGAAAGAGTTGACTGAATGATCATATTGCCAATCACCCTTGTGCCCTCTAAGACAGAAGTAATAGTCCCCAAGGGCTGCTAAAGTCTGCTTTGCCAAGACAGAGCACTAAGAGTGCTTTTACATATCCTATCCTGCAGTACAAGCTGACTTGAGCTGCAGATGGTCAAATAAGGAGCTAATAAACAACTCCAGAGAGCAAGAGCCTTGTGTTATGCCGATGGTTCATCCTTGGCCCAACCCAGCAGAGGCTACAGATCGAAATTTTGCGTAGGGGAGGAAGGCACACTGGGGGAGAGGGAATCATAATTCGTGTTTAAATTATTTTCAAAAAAACAATCTAAGTGGAATGTAATTTTATTTTACATCCTTTAATTACTTTCAAGTTATATTTTAAATGATACGTATTTAATATAATCATAGTTGGGAACACCAAGGACTTATCAATCATTCCTTTCCGCTCATTGGCCAAGACCCTGGAAGGCTGGAGAAGGGTTGACTTGCTACTAAGCAACTGAGTAGAAAACTCTCTGCATGTTTTTCCCCTTATATATTCATAAGTAAGAGATTGACTAAGTGAATGCTGGAAATATAAAGGGAAGAACTCTGGAAGAAGGTATCTCATGGTAGATTAGGCTCTACAATATTCTCTACTGCATGGCTACAACCCTGATCCTCTGTAGTAGGAGAGAGCACCTAGACTATTGTAAACTGGGTGTATGCTACCACTGCTGTGAGCACAGAACACACCTCTTCCCACAATGTTAAACATGGCTGTATAAGTAGTATAACCTCTGCAGACCACGTGGACCACTTCCCATTAATAAACATCTGGGTGTCCTGGAAAAATATAAATACACTCCAGTGGTCTCTATTACGAGGGTCTTCCTCATGAAAAAACTCCTTACATATAAAGAAAGCTTCTTATATATAAAAAGGCAATTGCTGGGTTTCATCACTGGATCATGCATAGCTTTTGGTGCAGTGCCTCTTTCTATTGGACAGTGCTCTTTAACCCATGGGTTGAGACCCTCAGGCGGGTTGCAGAGCCCCAAGTGCAGGGTCTCAAGCACCAAAAGAGCTGGTGTTTTCTTCACTGCTTTTTAGAAGCAGCCGCTGCTATTGCATGTATGCAATAGATATTAAGGGTGAAATATCTCCTTGCCTCTCGCTGCATGTGCACTGAAAGGAGGATCAAGATACCAAGGCAAGGTCACGTAGGGATGAAGACGATTCCTTTGTTTAGTGTATGCAACTACATGCAGGCTCATACACTTTGGCTCCTTCTCTTCCTGTCACGTGAGTGTGATTTCATGTGCCTCTCTGGCATATGCATTGCACACAGCTCAGTGAAACCCACGCAGCTGGCTTTTGGAGGTGATCAAAATAGAAGTGAGGCAATGCCTGTCAGTAAAGCTCCACATATAGCTTCA